GAAAATTTGGAAAATTGAGAATTTGCAAATTTTGAAACTTGAGAATTTGAAAATTGCAAAATTTGAAAAATTCTCAAATTATTTAATTTGGGAGTTTGGATAATTTACAATTCTTAAATTTAATAATTGGAAAATTAAGAATTTGAAAAATTAGAAATATGTAAGTGTAGGAAATCGTAAACTGAAGGATTTGGGAGGGGAACAATTTGTAATTTTTGAAATTTGGAAATTGAGAATGTAGAAATTTATAAATTGGAGAAATTGAGAATTTAAAAATTTGAAAATTTGAAAATATAGAAATTTGAGTATTTGAAACTTTAGAAATTTTAGAATTTTGAAATTGAGAAATTTGGGAATTTAAGAATTCTGAAATTTGACAATTTAAGAATTTTGAAATTTTGAAATTTGAGTTTGAAAATTTGAAAATACAGAAACTTGAAAATTGTAGAAAATAGAGAAAATTAAATTTTCAAATTTGTTAACACATAAATGTACAAACCAAAAATTTTAAAAAATTAAAAATCCAAAAATCTATAAATATCAATATTTGCAAACAATAAAATTTAAACTACTCCCAAAAATTCTAAAGTGAACGAAAAATCTAAAAAATTAGAAAGCCTATAATAAGAACACATATCGAAAGAGTCTTTTGAAAATTACGACACCCAGTATAGTGCAGTTCGTATTCGAGCAAACTGAAATCGCTTTCACGAGCATCGATGGTTTTTCTATCCGTTAAGACTCCATCGGTGCATTTCATATTGGCATTGACGTTCCATCAGCCCGCTGAAACGTTTTTCAGGGTAGAAAGCTGGATAGTTCTCAAAGACGAGCGTAATCTGGCTGAAACTGGGTCTCGAAGAAAATCATTGAACTTTTTCCACCTACCTCGTCCACGAGATTCCCTGCGTGTGTTTTCGAAATCAATTACGAAAATTAACTTTCTACGAACAAGAAATATCCTCAGAGATTTGCGGAAAATCGGATTTATAAAGCCTTCCCTACGTTTCCTACTTCCAAAGAACTTGTCCTCAACTTCTATCACTGATTGAGTTACTCGGCTAATAGCTTCAAATTAATTGCAGAAAAATCGCTAAGTAATTGATTTTAATTTGTGATTAAAAATTAATATTTTTTTTTATCAAATTTTTATGTACATGTATAAATTTTTGTGTTATATTATTGTTTATATAACAATAATTATATTAACAATAAGTATATCCATTTTAATATAATTATTATTAACAATAATTATTATTAATATAATTATTTTTGACAATAATTATAGCAATTATGACAATTTTAATTAATTTTTTTATGCTAATTTTAATATAATTATTGAATAATAACTTTTCAACTAAATTTAAAAATTCATTTCTTCAATTTTAAAAGAATTTATTAGTTAGTTAATTTTTTAGTAAATTAAATAATAATTATATGTTTGACAACTTTTCTTCAATTTTCTGTTTTACGTTTGCAATTGTTCTAATCAGGCGCCACCTTATTTCTACCTGTCCAATCACACCGGTCACTTATTTTGCACCGTTTTATCGATAATATGGCAAAATGGTGTGAAAAACAACGATGACACGGGGCCAAACTTCTCATCTTTATTTCTCATTCGAACCGAGGTAAATTATAGCTTATTCTGCAGCTAAATGTGCCTGCTCGAGCGTGCTGTTATTACTTGCATCCAAAACAATCTCTCGGTGGTAGAAAAATACTTGAAATCCACGGCTGTGTTGTGTTGATCCTTCCTTGACTTTATAGCTCTCGTCTTATCGAATATTAACATGATATCGTTGAGCCATGACCAGCGCGCCGCATTAAACCTTCCTCTTTCGAACGAGCTTCGTTGCACTTCAAAACTCCTCTTATTTAAGGACGAAAAGTTTGGCCACGCAACCCATATTTCGCTTAATTTTGTCGATAATTCTGCCACTCTACTCTGTCGCAAAACAGCTGAGTCTACCTCTGTAAGTTATAAAACGGATCTTATGGTGCGATCTGAGTCAGAGAGGATACGGATGAATAACGCGGTCAGATGTAATTCTGAATGAATTTATCTTATAATGTTTAGAAGACTGGTTTGGGAGATTTTCTCGCGGGAAAAGTGATGTAAATGATTACTATATTTATAGATTTATGTTTTTCGAAATTAACGAGTTTAAAATTGGTTATTACTCTGTTGTGGTTATTTTGAAAAAATAATCTAATTGAACAATGAAATGAAAGTCGGTGCATTTCCCGTCGGTATATAAATGGTGCCGGATTTGTGGTTGTCGCAGGGAAATTGGAAGGCGCTAGTTTTCCGAGCGTGTGCAATTACGAATCTCATTACGAGACACTCAGTGTTTTAAACAGCCGCGAAATTTCAAGCCGGAAGAATATCAAGCGATTAAGCTGAGAATTAACGCATAAACACCTCGACTAAATATCATCAGAGGATTTATACACGCGGCAAGTACCAAGGAACGATTTTAAACTGCAATGACAGGATACGAAATACGTACGTCTAAAGTTTAGCTAAACGAACTGTTTATTTCTGGATAACATAATCACAACACTCCTTACAGATGCACGTTTCATTCGTTAGCACGAAATTATTTGCGTCAGAACTCTGTACAAATATACAGAAACTGAAGTTGTAACATCGTGGGAGTAGTGCTTTTGATATTTTATTAATAGCAACTAAATTTTTGTTAGATTGTGGTTCGACATCTATTAGCCAATTTAAATTTTTATAGTTCATTGTTAGAACGTAAAAGCACATCTAAGCTCACATTTACTACGTGTTAGTTTAAACCATAAACTTTAATAAAAAGATTGCATAAATACTTCGTTAATATTCTCATTGTCAGTATAAAATGGAAGTATGTAGTTACAGAAAATAATGACCAATTTCGAACATAGCGGCTGACACAAATTGATGACATAAAAGTATTTCAAATAGCATTTATGCCAATCAGTTTCGAGCTTAAATGAAAATAAATTTGATGTAAATCATTAAATATATGTCATAGACGTCGGAATTTTCAAATACACTCCACGACTTTATCTTTTTGATATAAAAATTGATTAACTTATACTACACGTCTTTACTATTCACTTTCTATAAATGTATTCTCTTCGCCATGTGTCAACCGTCGCGGATCGGCAACCGACTCGCGCACCGTAAATTACCGAAGATTCCCGAATCGTTCCGATTGACGCGAACGCGACCTATCGATGACAGTTGCCCTTTTTAACGTTTCTTTTTAACAATAAAAACCGACTAGTTTCAAGAAATCCATCTTATCATGTATTAAGTCATGGCGTATTAAATGGACGATTTTGAAATATCGAAAGACCAAAGGATTTGATGACATAAAGGTACACAAAAATACCACTTACGTTACATCAATTTGAAGCATACAGTTCAACGAAAGTGACTGCATAAATGTCTTATTATTACTTTGAATACAAAATGGCTGATAACCTCTAGTCAGACATAATTTAATGACATAAAATTATCGTAAAGTGCCACTTGTGTTGTATTAATGTGAAGGTTAACGATCGTTGAAAGTGATGGTATAACTTTTCGTTAATGTTCTTAATATAAACTTGAGATTGCTAGATAATCACCTTACTGCACTTTATACGTTGTAATTCGTATGCGATTTTTTGGCGTTCAGATCGTATCACTGACATTTATCTAACGTTTATGTAGATATTTTCGATAAACTTTATTTTTCAAATTGATACGTTGTGTGTACTATTTTATAGTAATTTTGTGTTACCGATGAGCGTCAGGGTTTTGATATTTCGATATCTGACATTTCATGCGCAATAGTTTCATAGCATTTTAGTACTGTATTGGAGAATTTAATATTGTTTGATTTTTAGTAATTTAGTATTAACATCGGTCGGAATATTGTTATAATGACGGAAGTAATTTAATCATACATCCCACACGCTTATTTATATTTCTATTTACGAGTAACATCATGCGGAATTACAATCGAATTTATCCACGCATTATTGAATTACAAAGTAATTTATTTATCTACATTTTATTTAACTCCAATTTCAGATCTCCTATTTAATTTAATTGCAATGCAGCTCGTAATTACAGTTGAGGTAGAACTGCAATAATTCAATGAAATTCAATGGTTTCGTATCAGAAGCTGATCAAAGTGAGAAATAATATGAGTTGGAGAAATGTAAAGGTATACAACAGAAATACATTCGTATTAATAATGAATTATTAATTTTGTAAATTATATGTAACTGCATATAACAGATATGACGATTTTCTAATAATCGGCCATTTTGTATTAAAGATATTTATGAAAAGTTTATGTACCTATTTTCAAACTGAAATAGACAGTCTAATCGAAAAAAAGTGACCTTGAAAGACCTTGAATTCTAATAAAAAATGGATCTTTCTACAAATTTTTTATGTAATAATTTGTACTTAACGTAGATAATTAATTTCTGTTGGAAATGTACATATATCTGAGTGATTATCAGAAGTACTTATAAAAATCGTGATATTAACGTGCTACAGCTTGCATAATGAAGAAAACGAATATAATTTTAATTTCGAGGAGTGTCTACTCGTGAACCAGGTCTTCTATTAATAACAATCCAGAGGATTGTGTGAGCTATTGATTTTTTGCGATTATAATGCAGCCAACGAATATCTCGCGGGAGACAGAAAAAATTGTGATCAGTTTGCAAATATATGACACAATTGCTACTTTTAATGAAACTTTTGTTTTGATTCTACTTTTCATGAAAATTCTATCAAAATCACCTCAAAGTGTAACTTACGTTCTTTGTTAATTATTTATAATATTCAGAAATATTAAAACTGTCATTTTTTGAATTATATTCGTTGATAATTAAATTTAATGAAAAATATTTTTTGCCTGTTTATAATATTTACTTTTTATTTCGTATCGAGAATTTTACTAAATACAATTTTAATATAAATGTTTCGTAAGGATAGGCTTCTCAGTGCTTGAAAAGGTTACCTTGGAAGAATGAAATTCATCAGGCATTTTTATCCAACCTTCTTCAAATTTTATAGACCACGTTACACCGATATTTTATCACTCGTAGAAAAATAACGCGGTTACGCTCGAAGGGCAATCACAGGTTTTACAACGGAACTTTTGTGGAAGACTTCAAAATGTCAAGGAAGAATACGTCGTTAAAGCGAGTAAAAACTAAGTCAGAAATTATTAGTTTAAGTACTTGGGATTTCGAACAGAACTCCACAACTCTTTTAATTCATTAATTTATTAACTACACATCTTTATCGTCTTACTTATTTACACTACACGCACTTACTATTCGCCTTCCAAATCTATTCTAATCGTCACGTGTCAACTGCCACGAACCGGTAACCGTCTCGCGCGCCGTAATTTATCGAAGATTGCCGAATCGTTCCGATTCGCTCGAACGCGCTTTCGGTGACACGCCGTTGCCATTTTCTAACGTTCCTTTTTAACAACTTTTAATACTCTTAAAAACGTCTAGTCGTATTATTATACTTGCCACAGGTACAGAAAATAGTTGTTAATATATAAACAAATAACTGAGAACTGATAATTTAATGAATTCCTGTTTAAAAATTAGGGTGAGTTGACACTTTTCTTTCTTGTAAGCTGTGCTTGTTATTGTTCTTTCTGTGAGTGTCAAAAGCATGCAAATAATTCAAAGGACGTCCTATAATATAGAACTAATATACGACGGTATAATCAGCTGTAGTCAAGAAAGTACGAGAATCATCGTAAATTTTTAAAGTAAAAATGAAAAATGACCGTCATGCGATAGAAAAAGCAGCAATGACGTAACTCTTGATGTAACATCATTAATTCTTCACCTAGTTCGAGTATAACAAGCGCAAGCTATGCCGAAGATGGTTTACTTGAATATGTATAAATGCCATCGACATCTTTTCTGCAGCTCGTGTTCCAGATTTCCTTTAGCGACTCGATGACATAGCATGAATTGTCTCGGAACGGCACTAATGCAAGTTATTTTATGAAATCAACGACCGGATCTGATTACAGGTAACCTTGTCTTAAATAATGTGGGATAAAATAAAATTCGTATGCAGTTAAATTTTTATACAGGGTGTCCACATTTTTACTGTCACAACTTTATCAACGTATTCTATTCGTTTTATATTTATTTTACTAAAAAGTTATAACCTTTACATTTATATATAAATAAATCTGCATCAGCCATGAATTTTCAGGGAAGTATTCACACAGTCAATCACCGCAAATCTCTTGGAAATATACACAGTAAGTAATTTACGACAAAAATATACTTATAACGAGGAGAAAATAACAGCGTTTAATGTAAAACAGTCGATGTCTAAGTCGTAATTCCATGAGAGCAAACACGCTGATCCGAACTAGCTAAGCAGACAGATTGTATATTTTTTTCTGGGGAATGAACGAATGTTCGCTCTTCTGAAAAATCTTTTTACGTTAGGAAGAAGTAGCGTGCGTTCTAAAGTTAGATGGTCTACGTTCACGGAGTGAATATGTTGGCTTAGCGTAAAAATAAGCTGATACGAGGACCATTTACGACATAGGGCTGCGATCACGACGTGAGGAAACAGTAAGTAACACGCGAATGTGAAATTTGGAGTTCCTATTTGGAATTTGCAGTTTGAATGCTCAAGTTAAGTGTAATCAAGGTTTAACTATTTGTTGTTCGACAGCTACATATGAGTATCACATTATGTGTATATGCATGTATGTATGGTACATATGTATGTATGGTATGTACGTAGGTATGTTTTATATGTAGATATATGGGTTACTTTTAAGTATAGCAGTTACTTCTTATATTACCACAATTTATATTGCTGACAACGTCATTTATCAAATTTGAAAATTTTAAGAATTTTGAAAATTTGGAAATTTTAAGAATTTTGAAGATTTAGAAATTTGGAATTTTTTACACTTTTGGTAATTTACAAATTTTAAGATTTTTAGCAATTTGCAAATTTAAAGAGTTTGGCAATTTGGGAACTTAAAGATCTTCGGCGATTTACAAATTTCAAGAATTTTAGACAATTGGAAATTTTCAGAATTTTGGAAAATCAGAAATTGTAATGAGAAAGTGTAGGAATCTGAGAATTTGAAAAATTGAGAATTTTTATTGAGTTATTATTTTCACTGAAACTACTGAACATCGTATAATAACGAATTCAAAAATTTGGGGATTTGAGGTTGTGTGAAGCTGTGAATTTCTATAATTTTACCCCTTGTTCAAAATGCCATAGATAAACGACACCGGGACAATGAATTCTCCATCAAACAATAATTCCTTCCTTAAATAGTAGAAGTTCCAGTTTCGATAATAAAATATCGGGAAGATTCGATAATAAAAGTTTAGTACGTACTTCGTTTTACAGCTTACATGAGCATTTATGGAGTCGTAATGGCAGTCGGTAATCATAACTCAGTACGTTCAGTTAATCGATTATTCAATAAAATGTAATTCGAGTAAATGAAGTCTGAATAGATGGAGCTGTATTATCTTCATTCTTTCTTAAGATTAAAGACTTTCTATTACAGAAAACGAAGAATAATTAATAGTTGATCTCGTGAAGGATAATAGCATACATATAAGGACGTTGCGTATTCAAGAAAGTATATTTTTTGTATTTTATGAAGAGTCAGTCTATCAATAGTGACAGTACGATAATGGTAGCTTATAGTAGGTAATGATAGTTTAATGACGGTAGTTTATAATAATTAACAATGATAGTGTGATGACAGAATTTATGACAGTAAATAGTTATAATATCGTGACAGAATTTATGAAAGTAAATAGTGACTGTATAATGACAATATTTATGATAGTGTGGCGGTTTCACTCCTACGCTCACCGAAACTAGATGGCGCGTAAGAGCTAAACGGCTTTCTCGCTAGTACTCAACGCGGCTGATCCCTACAATTAGTTTCTGTCCATCCCTTTTATACATTTAAGATACGGACCTGCTAGGATACCTTGCTGACGAGTCCTAGCAGGTCTCTGATGAGATGCTTTCTTCAATCTTCTAGCCAAACCACCAAAATAGTAATCAGTGACAGTATGATGGCAGCATTTATATTAGTCAATGATGACAATATGACGACAGTATTTATGTCAGTCAACAGTGACAATATGATGACAGTACTTATGATAGTAAATAAGTAAAATTATAATAAATAGTAATTGTATGATAACAGTATACATACAGTGACAGTATAGTAACATTATGATATTAACATATAATAATATTAATGGTAACATACAGTGAATATAATGACACCATGATAGTAGTATGACTGTGATTTGTGACAGTATCCAACTGTATTTACGGTACAAAATAATGACACCATAATAATGTTATATATGATCGTAAATAGTGACAGTATAACAACAGTATGTTTGATAATAAACAGTATAACAATTTAAATATCCTACATAATTTTCAGATAAGCTAAATGACCTAAATAACCTGTTTAGCCAAAGTAAACTAATTAAGCTAAACTAATTGAAACGATTAAATGAATTAAACTAAATAAAAGAAATAACCTAATTAAATGAAAATAAACTTAAATAAATTACAGTTTACTTTATCTAACTGAAACAAATACTTCTAATTAATAATCTCATTTTATGCTTGTAAAAATCATAACTACACAACAGATATATACAGAACAGAAAAATGTTAAAAATTATTGATTTATCGACCCAGTAAAATGGACTGTTTTTTTTAATCTTTAGCGGTTACACTAAAGTATGAAAGGACCGCAGTCAATTTAGCTTCAGTTTCAGCCGCTTCATTATTCTGAATATCAGAATAAATAGCTTTTTTGAAACCCCGGTATTTTTACTATTTTTTTCTACATATTGTTATATTCCAAGAGTGTCAAAGCTACAGTTTTAGCTTTTTATATTAAAACCGAAAAAAATTTAGAATTTTTTTGTAAAAATCTTTTCAGTTTTTACACATTTCTGAATTTTTGTTCATATTCAGTGTTTAAATGTACTGAAATCAGCTGTGAAATATGATAAAACAACTTTCAAAGTTTATTTATAATTTTTTTCAAGTTAAAATAATGAGTAGCTTTTTTTGTGGGAAACACTTTTAGTGTCCGGGTTCTTAAACGTCCCAGTGTGCCGGGTATATTATTTCGGCGAAGTGTGACTATTAAGGGTTAAAATAAATAAAGCATAACAGCTTTGGACAAGAATATTAACAGTTTATCAGTTTAATAATTTATCAACTGTATTTTATATATAAAGAAAATTGATCGCAACACTTTATTTCTGTATTTATTTACATTTTTTCTTCGGAACCTGTTACTTTCCGTTTCGCACGTGATAAATAAACTTCGATACAAGCGTTCTATTTCTCCGTCATTCTATCGATCTTCCTTTATCGACGCCACGGTGTTCCGATGGCAAACTAACGAGTTTATTTTTAACACATTTGAGGAATAATGTGGCCATGTGCATGCGATGCAACGGTAAATTACACTGACTTCAATGACTCTTATTAATTGGCTGAAGCGAGTCGATTCTACAACCGGTCAATACTTCACTTTAACACTTTTACGACATGTATACAGGCAGTTCAATAGAAACTTGCTCAGACTAATCGGTTACTATTTTTAAGTACATACACTTAACAAAAAAAAAATGCTATTAACCTTTAACGATGACACTGGAGTATGAAATGACCTCAGCTAATTTAGCTTCAATTTTAGCTACAATATTATACTGAAAATCTCAATAAATATCTTTTATGAAACTCCGGTATTTTTACTATTTTTTTTCCTCGTATTGTTGTATCCCAAGAGTGTCAAAGCTACAATTTTAGCTGTTTATATTAAAACCGAAAAAAATTTAGAATTTTTTTGTAAAAGTCATCTTTTCAGTTTTTACATATTTCTGAATTTTTGTTCATATTCAGTATTTAAATGTACTGAAATCAGCTGTGAAATATGATAAAACAACTTTCAAAGTTTATTTATAATTTTTTTCAAGTTAAAATAATGAGTAGCTTTTTTGTGGGAAACACTTTTAGTGTCCGGGTTCTTAAACGTCCCAGTGTGCCGGGTATATTATTTCGGCGAAGTGTGACTATTAAGGGTTAAAATAAATAAAGCATAACAGCTTTGGACAAGAATGTATGCACAGTGTCCAAGTTTTTGGCAAAACTTTATCAAAATATTCCATACGCAAAAATGAGGAAGAGATGTTATATTAACACAAGGTTTTACACTTTATTTAAAAGGTATAACGAAAGTGCAAAATGACTATTATTCACACAGTTGAATTATTTGTTTCTATACGAATAATTCAAACATAATTTATTCTGTTTTGAAAGAATTTTGCAATATTATTTTATGTTATTCTGAAATACTTCATTATTGCATTTCGATTTTATTTTGTTATTAATTTGACACATTCAAACTTAATATGGCTTATTTATTAATTTTATATCTTCTTTAAGTAATTCGAAATGATTTCAACGTTTTCTTTTTTAATTTTTAAAAGATTCTTCTCATTTAAATATTGAGTACTATACTATCTTAATTTTGACAAATTTTCAGGACATTTTAATCACTTTTTGAATTTTTGTTTTCATTTTTTAGTATTTGATTCTTCTTTAATTCTCACTATTTTCTTTCTGTTATTCTTAAATATTAGACTCGCCCTGTATTATATTTGTATCAATATTTATTTATTTATAAAGTGGATGCTCGTCCTTTTATCTTAATAATAAATTTGTTATGAATTACTCGTTTTTTTTATTATTATGCCAGGTATGTTATTTTAATAAACTGTGATCGTTAAGAGTTGAAAAAAGGAAGAAGAAAAAGGAAGAAGTTGGACAGAAGACAATTTGACTTGCATTAAATACTAAGCCGTATTAAATCATGCTTCTGAACCGTAACTACATACATACTGTGATATTGATTGAACGAAACGTGCCGAGGACTCGGCAAAGTGATATCTCATTGCTGTTATTACTCTTTATGAGTGGGAACAGATTACGGTACCAATCGATAACTGAGAAAGTACTATGTACCTCCATTAGAGCGAAACGAAGGACTTTTTGGATGAAGACAAATGTTGTGCATTTGTAAATTTCAAAATTTTCAAGTTTTAGTTCTCAAATATACAAATTTATGAATTTTAGAATTCTATATTCTGAAATTTCGTAATCTTTAAATTTTCAAATGCCCGAAGCGGGTAATTTTAAAGTTTTCAGATATTAAAATTTCAGAATTTTTTAGTTTTAGAGATTTCAAATACTAAAATTTACAAATTTGCAACATTGTGAATATTTAAATTAAAAAGGATCCAAATTGTAAACTTAACTTAACAATTTGTTAAATTTCCAAATTCGCAAATTTCTAAACTTAATTTTCTAAATCTACAAATCTGCAATTCTCAAATTTACAAATTTCAAAAATTGAACATTTTTCAATTTTCAAATTCTCAGATCTCTATATTGTCAAATTCCCAAATTCTAAATTTTTGAAGTTTCCAATTTCCCAAATTCACAAACTCTCATATTCCTAAAATCTCTAATTTCAAAATTTCAAAAATTCCGAACTTTAAAATTAATAACTTTCATGCCTTTCATTATAAACATTTTTAACACATAAATGAATCCACGTAAAACCCTTATATATATAAAGTATAGCTATTCTTTATAAATTTCATCCCTTTCACTATAAACATTTTTGCAAAATAAATGAATCCACAGAAACACCTTCATATATATAGTATAATATTTTTAATAATTCTCATCCTCTTCACTATTAAACATTTTTACTACATAAATGAACCCAG